CTTTCTTTCTTTCTTTCTTTCTTTCTTTCTTTCTTCTTTCTTTCTTTCTTTCTTTCTTTCTTTCTTTCTTTCTTTCTTTCTTTCTTTCTTTTTTTTCCCCTTTGGAAGAACCATGGATTGAACTCAGGCCCTTGCACTTGCAGACGAGCGTTTATTCTACTGACCTATTTCCCCAGCCCCAGGATGCAATGAAAGAGGGTCTTGGAGGAAAATTTATAGCTGTGAACTCACACATTAGGAAAACAGAATGGGAACAAATAAATACCCTAATGTTGCAACTCAAACGTCTACAAAAGGAAGAGCAAAGGAAGCCCAAAGTCCAAAGAAGGGAGGAAATTATAAAAAGTAGAGCAGAAATTAATTCAATTAAGACAGCTCATCTTTCATTCTCTGATGCTTGTGAAGCCAAGTTTGGTACAGGATACAGAAGCAAAAGGGGAAAAACAAAATGAGCACAAGTGTGAGAGAGGCCCACTTGAGGCTCCTAGAACTGATGGGGACAGTGAGGACAGACAGACTGCAAGGTGGAGTGAGGTGGGGACGCCCTCTCACTGGCAAGAGTAGGGAATCAACCAAAAGGCAGCCAGTGAAGACTCAGGATTCCAGAACTTGTCTGAGTAGCATGAAAGACTCAGGCTAGGCTTATGGTAATGAGGCTTTCAATTTCTTGTGAAGATGTGAAGGCACAAGCCATACACATGAAGACTTGGAGAAAAAGACATCAAGGGAAAAATGAGTTTTGGGAAATAAAAATTTCAGAAAAGTGACCCTTTAAAAGGAGACAATAGGGGGCATGCCCCGTAGCTCAGTTCTTTAAGTGGCTGCTTCAACAAAGCAGTCAGGCTCAGGTTGCTTTGGTTCGATCCCCACAACACAAGACAGCCAGTCATGCCTTGAAGGCATTCCGAGCAAAAAAAAAAACAAAAAAAAAACACTTCTGCCATTTAAAAGGAGACAATAGCTTCCTAGAAGATGTGAAGTTGAAGGTGAGCCTTGGAACCAACTCTTTGTTAAAACGTTTTCAGTTATTTGTTTCAAAACAGGTTAGTAGGACAAGTACAATAATTAATACATTGCATATTGTTGTCTTCATAGTAGCAATTCATAGTACAAGATGCAGACATGATATCCTGTCCAAACACTATTAGTACAAATCTTCCTTCTCATTGAATGAAGAGAAAGTAGCTGTATGTCTATCCTATTTTGTATATACAGATATATTTCACTACAAAATGGTCTTTCATTTATATCCTCCTTTTTTGTTTAGTTTTGTCAGAGATGAGTATTCCATTACCATTTAAATATTATAAATATTTCAATATTGTAGGTGTGTGAATTTGGCAAAATAATCCAACATAGTCCAGTAGTCCATAATAGTAGTGGGTTATCCATAGGACTGGCAATGTCAGAAGTTGGTGACTTGAGCCTTTTATAGCTCAGCATATTAATATAACTTTACTTTTTTTTTAAATATTACTCTTTATTTAAATGTTTATAAGGCAGATCAATGAGAAAGATACAAAAACATGGCCTATAATTTGATAGCAGTATTTAGGAGATTATGTAGTTTTAGCAAATATGAATTACATAGTTACAAAGGAAATAGTTTTTCCAAGCAAGTACAAAATATCTAATGAAAGTCCAAGGCAAGAAAATGAATACAATTAATTAACAATGGAAAATTGATTTTGATATGAATTGCATATTATCTTTAAAAGCTTTTAAAAGAATTATTGCTGTCTATCATATAAAGTGTTAAATGGAATCATGACAAAGAACTGGAGGCCAGAAAGGATTATTTTGACAGTGTAACAGAGAGACCACTTAGAACGGCATAAGTGTGGGGCAGAACTGGGGAAGTGATGAAGCCATCGAAGTCTCCCTAGTAGTCTCTGTCTAGTAGTCTCTCATTTTTCCTTCCATAGGCTGTGGTTTTGACCCCTTGAGGGCAGTTCCTGTGACATCTACAACCCTGTGGCAAGACAGGACAATAAATGACACACTGGTCTCCATGGAGGACACTTGGCTTCACCGGCCAGCATCACATACGGGGGAGTTATTGTGAGGGCAGCTGAAGACTGGAGGGACAGTGGCATTGACAGAAAAAGGTAAATGGTCACTAAGGGACAGTGTCCATCTCTGCATGTCTGGGCATCTGGAAAGCGATGAGAAACTTCTAAAGAAAAATCTAAGCG